GCATCTAGAACATTAAGCAATCAGAATATTTTTACAATCACTTTTCATGAGCTATGATTTAATGTGTTTGGTCAGGTGATTTTAATTTGACTTCATCAAAGCCTGTCAGCATCTAGAACATAAAGCAATAAGAGTATTTTTACAATCACTTTTCATGAGCTATGATTTAATGTGTTTGATTTCCAGATTTGAGATCTTAAATAAAAAAAAAAAACCAATAAAGCTGTCGCAGGATATGCTATTCAGGTTCCTGTATTGTACACCCACAAAACTGTGGTTTTAGTTTTTTACTGTTTAGTAATTGTTTAATTTTAATTTTTTATCATCTTTAGTAAGGACTGCTTTTTACTCTGCAGATATTAAGCCTTCTTAAAACAACATTGAAAAGAGTCGTGGATGTTATTGTACAAAGTCTGAAGTAAGGATAAAGATTTGTGTCTTTTACACAATGAAAACTTACTGCAATTCTAATTAGTGCACTTCCTTTGATTGATTTTGAGACATCAAAAGCTAGTGTTGCTAGTATGTTATTGTACAAAGTCTGAAGTAAGGATAAAGATTTGTGTCTTTTACACAATGAAAACTTACTGCAATTCTAATTAGTGCACTTCCTTTGATTGATTTTGAGACATCAAAAGCTAGTGTTGCTAGGGGGCTACAAACTAGATGATAGTATGGAAATTATATCCTAAAAAAAATTCACCAATATTTAACTTAAGCATTTTTACATTTTTTCTATTATTTTATTATTTAAAAATATTCTAAAAATGCATTTTTACATTTATTGCAGCTATTCATTCTATTTTTTAAAAATATTAATGGTTATAAATCTGTTTACTTTCTCTGCCACTCCATTAAAAAAAATGTAAATCAAGCCTGCACAACATATGGCCCGCGGCCGCATACAGCCCACCAGCACCCACTTTGCGGCATGCGAAGTAACGAAATACTCTTTATTCTTATTATTTTTCTTAATAGCTTTTCCAACTGTCCTATTTTCTTTTGGCTCACATAAGTCCTGTCCTATTTTCTTTTGGCCCGCACTGGTCCTGTCCTATTTTCTTATGGTCCGCACTGGTCCTGTCCTATTTTCTTTTTGCCCGCACAAGTTTTACCTAAAGTGTTATGGCCCACCTTACATTTTTTGTTGTGCAGGCCTGTTGTAAACCATCCACTAAATTATTTATTTTTTTGTATTAACCAGTTCAAGTTAAAACAAACATGTCAGCTCACCCCATTACACATGAGAGGAAGACACAAACACCATGGAAGAAATTCTTTATTTTATATAAGTATTCAGCCATATGCATAAAATTGAAAAACACTATCAACAAAAAGTGACTTGAAGACAGCTCTTCCAGTACGTACTTTGTTGATATTTTACAATAAATTACTATAGCTATGACTTTTTTTTTTATATTTGCAACAGGAGTGGAAGTCTTGTTGTTGATTACACAGTGGTCATTGCTCAGACATCAGAAAGTGATAAAGAAGATCTGGCCATAAATATGCTACTTATAATGGCCAACAAGAGCAATAATATACAACTAGATGGACAAAATGTTAACATGTTGCAGAGGGTAGTGGCCGGAAAACAGAGTAAGAGTATAAGTTTGTTATAAAAATTTTTTGGCTTAATTATTATCATCATTAATATATTTAATAGAATTTTCAGCTTCTTGTGTGTAAGAACTAGTGCTTTTTCATTCCTCACTTGACAGCTGCCGTATTTAAAAGCTTAACTTTGTTATACTCACATAACTTACCATGGCCAATCAATATTTAGTCATTTTAAATAAGTTTGTTATCTTACAGTAGGCTCAACTTTTGCTTATTAAAAGTGACATTTTAATAAAAATTTCTTATTTGGAAAGGCTTTTTATTAAAATATAATTGTTAGGAAAAACTTTATAAAAATTAATTGATCGGACACCTCTTAAAAGCAGTAGATATCAAGTGCTGACAAGTGACAAAGAAGGCTATTTTTGATGATTTTTTTCAATATAAAATTTCTGGTTTGTCAAAATTGGCATTTTAAAAAAATGTTTATGACATAAAATGCTTCCAAAAAATAAAATAAAATAACGAAGAATATTGTTGGCCTGTTCAATTTTTATAATTAATAATAGCAAGTGTTACTTCTTTTAAAATCTCAAGTTTTTGCCACTTGCATCTAAACACAATTGACATAAAATTATGTGTAAATCAAACCTATATCCAGATGGAGAAGTTGTTTGCCTCTTTATTTGATTCAGTATCTATTAGACATTGCATTAGCTTTGTTTTCTGAGTAACACCAGCAGTTGATATTTCTCTTAAATTTTAAACCCTCAGTTAATAGCAATGACAGTGTCTGCATGGGGAAATCGTGTAGTCAAACTGAGGTGTGTGAGGTGAACCAAGGTTTGCCATTCTGCAGGTAAAAACTTTAAATTTGAAGCTTAAACTTGTAAAAAAAAAAAGGTTTAGTCATCAAGAAAATCATTCTTAGGTTTTTGACACAGAATTATTGTGTCCTCCTAATTTTTATATCTATAACTTATAACATGAAATATGAAAAGGTGTATTTAGTTTTTCTATTGAGGTCAGATAAGTGTTTTTTTTCCTTCAATTTAATTGGCGGTTGGTAAAGGGAGGGGGGAGGAATTTTTTTGTTGTTGTTGACATAAATAAAATTGTTGAAAGTATTAGCTGCTTATTTAATAAGTCATTTAATATATATGTATATATATATATATATTTTTTACAGGTTAAAAGAAGAAAGTGAGTAAAATACTCTATAACATAGGAAGAAAAGTTTAATTTTACAAATAGGCCCCAACATATATGAAATATTGAACTCCATTAAGAATTCTAATTAAAATCATTGGTAAACTGTTGTAAAGACTATGAAATTAATTACAGTTTCCTTGAGGAGCATGTTAATTAAACAATTATCTTTTTTTATACATCCTTAAAGGTGAAATTCGTCTAATCCTTGGTCTAAGCATTGGCCTTCCATTATTCATTCTTCTTTGCGTTGTTATTTCTGTGTCAACCTACTGTTGGGCAAAAAAAGAAAGGCAACCTCATGACCTTCACAGTTTCAATAAACATAAGTAAGCTTATCAAGAAAAAGTCAAATAAATAAAGATTTTAACTAGAACCAAACACGGCAATTTAACTCGAAATTATCCTTCAATACAATAGGGTGGCTAGTTACCCTGATCTGAATATAAAGTATGAGTTTCTTTTAAAAAATAGCCTTTATTAGTTGCTGGAATAGGAAAATACATAGTTAATTAATGGTAAACATATGCTGAAAGCAACTTTCTTTGTTTCTGCATCTTCAGCAATGAGAGGACAATTTTATCCAAGCAGCTTTATTTTGGAGACAAAGGTTGCAGAACAGTTCAGCCTGGCGCCCAGGTACACTAATTTACGTTCATTTACAAATTATGTAATCTGTTTTATCGTAGTAGTTGAAATTATTTAGGAAAAAAAATTCTGAAAGTTTGTTAGACCTAGGCTGCAGATGAAATTTCTCTGAATTTTAAAAAAAAAAATTTGTTTGACCCAGAATGCAGTATTTAAAATTTAAGGTAACTTTCAAATTATTTTGTAAAAACTTATACTTTTAACACCTGCTTTACCTGAACCCAAGGAAGGAAGGTCCAATAAAGGATTTAGATATGCATCAAATAATATCTAGTAAGTTTCTTGTTGTACTGTCTTTAATTCTAATATACTTTATAAAATTTCAAGACCTGTTGCAATTATCTCACGGTTTTTTTGTGTGTGTTTTTTTCTTTCCCAGGCCCAAGCAAGGGTTTGGAGTGCTAATACTCGGCATTTCTGGCTACCCGGGGCAGTAACCGACTCAACAGTCAAATTGATTTTTGAACATTTAATAAATAAAAATAGGATCAACAATAAATTAAACTAGAAATTAAACACAGTTTGCACAGAAGATCAGAGATTTTCCACACACAAAAAAGCTGCGTAAGATGTCAAATATCAGTCAAGACGCTTTTTTCAAACACGGCTAATGCAGTTGCAGCATTCATCATCTGTGCTTTTCCTGCATGCATTGGCATTCCGCCAAATTTGATCTAGAAAACTCCCAGTCTTTCGTTCCTAGAAAACTCACAGCCTTCGTTCTGATGTGTAAATGTTCTAGCAACACCCTGATCCATATTTTGAGGGATACTCGAGTCATAACATTTCAAGTGTCTTGTTTCGACATGCTTGCTTAGGCCTGTGCATCTCAAGATTGATGACGGCAGCGAAAACAGTCACTTGTGCCTCATATGTTTGCTGATCCAAGCCTTTAACTAACTCCTTTTCATCAGTCACCATCTGATATTGCTTTAATCAATGTGCTGTCAATCTCCATCAAATGTTTCGGTTGTTTACATTGATGAGTCTAGCCATTGTTTTAATTTCACGGCCCTTGTCTTCTGATCAGTTGCCACTGAGAAGCAGGAGATATTGAGACTGAGAGAATATAGACTTGCTTCACTCCAGTCGAAACCAGTCGTTAATCAATAGCAGACAGCATTTCATTTATAATACAAAGTGCGCAATAACACATACTGTTCACAATAACTCAAACTGTGCACAATAACCCAGACAGTGCACAATAACCTAGACTGTGCACAATAACCGAGATTGTGTCGTCATATTGAGCTGTATCCTTTTATCTGTAACTCACCTTAACTCTGTTGATCTTACAGGTTACACAATGTCTTCAAAACGATACATCAGCTTGTAATAAGTCCAACAACTTAATCGATTAATAACTGAGTTTATGTGTTATACAAACGATCTGCTGCACTTCAAGTAATCTGCAAATTCATCTCTGTAAGAGGGACTTGAGACCCCATGCCCCCTTTTAGTGCGGAAACACTTTCAGTTAACACCTCGTTCAATTAACACCCCATTCGTTTAACATCCCAGTCAGTTAACACCTCGTTTAGACACCACATTATGACTGTGACAATTCATGGATTAAGACCTTGTTCATTGTCCTGTCTTATTAAGATTTTGCTTATTGTCCTGTCTTATGCTTTGCAGATACAACAAGAAAACCAAGGCCTGGGGAGAAAGAGGGTGTAGGTAAGTGGTTGTTGTGTCACATACCCTGCAAAAGATGGTGTAGATGGTTGGTTTATGTATGATATACCCTACTAAAGATGGTATTGTTTAGTGGTTGTGTGAAATACCCTAAAAGGCCCATTGTTTACTCAATATTTAAAAAAAACAAAAAAAACAATTAGATCCAGAGCCTTGGCAAGACCGTTTCAATCATAAAATTTACAGATGATACCACCATCGATGGCTTAATATCTAAAGGAGAAAGGTTATAACAAAAGTTTGAAGCTTTATCAGTTGGTGCGATGAAAATTTTCTTCAGCCGAATGTCTCAAACAGGAAAGAAATTTTGTTGTCCATTTCCGAAGGGAGAATCACCTATTTCAGATCATGCAATAAAAGAATCACAGTACAGAGCAAGTCAACACATATCAATACCTTGGTGCCACCATTAATAATAAGCTGGCATGTCATGAACACAAATTCTGTATAAAAAATGTCAACCAAAGACTTTTCTTTTTTAAAATATTTATACAAATTCATCATGAACAAAACAAGTTATTAACTTATTTTACAGTACTACAATCAGAAGCCAACTAAATTTCAATATTACCTGTAGGTGTGTGAATTTATCCCCTGACATCAAACACTGACTAAATAGAATAATCATTAAAACATAAACTAAAGGAGGAAAGACGTCATGATTTCTTTTTTTCGGTCTGATATAATGGTAAGAAATGTGTTTATATGTATCCTTATATATATATATATATATATATATATATGTTAAGGGTAGACTAAATGGTTAGGATTTGGGTTGTTTTGGATAACCTATTGTTTCTGGAGAGTTAGTTTCTGAAAACTTTCCATTCAAAATGTTTTTGCATGGATTATACTCTTACATTAGACGCATGTTGTAATTTGTTGTGACTTTCATTGAACAAGGGTGCTTCGGGACAGCATCACCACCAGCTACAATGTGGGCTTGGCTGCTCTTGGTATCGGCATCATGATGAACATTGGAGGCCTGGCCAGCGCTGGGTGGAGGTTCGATGGAGGCTATACTATGGGACTTTGGATGCTGTGTATCAATGACAACTGTGCCTCTATTCCGGATTCCGATAAAAAAGGTAAATAAATCATTTTTTGGCATAATTTATGACTGAAATTTATGTTAAATTTTAATTTAAGTAAATTGTCAAATCTGTGTGAAATCTTTGTTTGTGCAGCTCATGGCAATAACGTACAACTATCTCTCCTGTTATTTCTTGTGAAATCTTTGTTTGTGCACCTCATGGCAATAACGTACAACTATCTCTCCTGTTATTTCTTGTGAAATCTTTGTTTGTGCAGCTCATGGCAATAACGTACAACTATCTCTCCTGTTATTTCTTGTGAAATCTTTGTTTGTGCAGCTCATGGCAATAACGTACAACTATCTCTCCTGTTATTTCTTGTGAAATCTTTGTTTGTGCACCTCATGGCAATAATGTACAACTATCTCTCCTGTTATTTCTTGTGAAATCTTTGTTTGTGCACCTCATGGCAATAACGTACAACTATCTCTCCTGTTATTTCTTGTGAAATCTTTGTTTGTGCACCCCATGGCAATAATGTACAACTATCTCTCCTGGTATTTCTTATTATATTATATTATGCAGGCTTTATCCTGTTATATGATGTAACATATTTCCTTTAATATAACGAAGTATCTATCCTGTGACATGTTAGATTATCTATCCTGTGACATGTTATCAATCCTGTGATATGTTACAGTTTCCATGTAGATTGTATTTGTAACTTAGACATAACATTCACACGAGGTGATGAAAAAGAAAAAAAAATTAATCCGTTTCACATGGGGGGGGGGGGGTTATGAAGTCTAAATAAATTAGAGGTTACTGGACTTTGGTGATTATTAAGTTCAAAAGAGTCCCAGAGCCCCCTAAAATTTCCCAGGCATTCCGCCCACTCCCCCAGCCTCCTTTTCTCCACCTCTGCCATAACAACTATGAGCTTTCAATACCATGGACTAATAAAATTTCTAAACAAAACAAAAATTTTGAGGTATTTAAATAGACAGAGATATTATTTAGAGTTTTCAGGTTATAATTTTCTTCTAGAATTTAAAACAGATGTTTCTATAATATTTTCTCCTCTTCTCCCGCACTCTTCCATTTCAACCTTCATTTTTCAGGTAGCGTAAAAGTTGGTGAGGCGTCCTCCATACTGGGTATTATATTCAATGGATTCGCCTTTGTCTTGGCCGCTACCTTCCTAGTACTTTCCCCATGATTGGCCTTGTCCCGATTAAATTACGCCGCCCTTGCATAGAGGAATGTTAGGAAGTAAGCTAAGCCTGGCTGAACAGTGAAATCTAATATACTGACGTTACACTACTAGCCATCCTTTTGAGACAACATATAGGTAACTGAGGAAACTTTAATAAAATTTTGACCCCTCCCCCCACTTACTCCTACCCCAGTTTGCACAGAAAGATGAGGATATAATTAGTGTGAAATCCACCTCTATTTTAAAAGACATTATGAAAAGTATGTCTACCAATTAAGTCTGGCCAAGATGCAACAATTTATTTAAAAGCTTGTAATTTAACCTAAGCCTACTTGTAGAGTTTGGCTATTTTAATAAAAATGCATTCTAGAACCTTCTACGCTCATCTGGAACTTACTAGAAACTTTTTAAAAATGTCTTTATTTCTAATTAAATAATATTTGAGGACAGCCCCAAAGACTTATAAAGACATAAATACGACACTAATGTACTAATATAGTCTTAAAACCCTTGAATATTCTAGAATAATGTAGAAACCAGGGACTTCATGTGGGTAGGGCAGGGTGGGGCATCTGTTGTCCCCCACACATAAAAAAAAAAACCTGAAATGACGCCTCTTGTAGAAACTTCAAGAAACTTATTAAAACAGATATTTTTTTAAAAAGTACATGTACACAACGACCAAATAATTCTTTAAATAAAAATTAAAGTTAAAAATGTTAAAGTTGTCCCATTAAGGTCGGTTGGAAAATGTAAGAGGTATGGCGTATATCGAAAATGAAATGATGGCACAAATAGTGGTGAATAGTATGAGTTCAAAACCCTCCTGTTTTTTTAAAATCTATTTCTTCAAGTTTGGTCTAGAGCAGTGGTCGGCAAACCCATTATCAAAAGAGCCAAAAATCAGCAGCAGGACGGATACAAAATTTTTGAGAGCCCCATTTCTTTTCAAGGACCTGTCAAGAAGGTATTTTTTTTGGAGTGAAAACCAATATGTGGCTGACTGGCTGAGCCGCACTCAGGCCACTATAGAGCTGCATGCAATTGGCAAGCCCAGATTTTCCTACCACTGGTCGTTAAGTTCATTATTTGAACTTTTATTGATATAGCTCAAATAAGACGAAATGACATTTGGGCCCCCACCCCTGAACAGGAAATGAAAAAAAAACGAAACCTCTTCAATAAATTCTTCAGAGCAATGAATTGAAAAAACTATACAGTGACGTAGGAAGAGGGCGGTGTGGTATTTTGGCTAATTGCCGATTTTTTTTCTTGAGGAAGTGGGGGGGGGGGGCAAATGCTCGCCACGTCCCTGGTGGCACTAACCCCCAGCTACGCTACTGCAACTATGTATTCCAAGTCTTATCGATATCCATTAATCCATGTAGAAATAGGTTTAAGCAGGCATATTTTCTCATACAGATAGCACAGGGGTTGGCAAACTCATTGATCAAAAGAGCCCAAAATCAGCAGCAGGACGTTTAATTTTTTTTTTTTTGAGAGCAAAATTTTTTTCAAGAACCTGTCATAAACCATATTTTTTCATGAGTCAAAACCGATAAATATCCTATGTAAAATTTGCATTATGTAGAGGAAGTGATGTTGGACAGGTTATTACACTGCTTTATTAAAACATGTTAAATAGGTAAAGTAACTTGCCAGGTAAGATCTCTTAAAGTGGCGCAAACAGCAGGCAGTTTACAAAATGCAAGCTTGGAGCGGTAGGTGGGCGGGAAAATTGGGGGGTGAGGGGGAGATTTAGAAGGTAAGTCTTGATTTCAGACTCACTATTGAAAAGAATCAAAAAACTACACAAGGCAATACTGCTGTTCAGATATGCTGACATAGTTAGGCAATGCTGCAGTGCAGATATGCTGACATAGTTTTCTGTCAACATCCTCTTCATGCATAAGAAATAAGTAGGTGGCGGGTTGGGCCTGTGGGGAGGGGTTGGGGGTAAAGGGGCTTTAAAAACCCTGTCATATGTCTGGAACTAACGCTAGAGATGCAACCTTGAAAATGTGATTGCCTTTTATGAAACTGCTGTTATTTGACCCTTTGAAAACGTTCTCAAACACGAGAACAGTAAGACAGTGTTAGCGAGCAAGGCAACCCCCTAGACTCGTCCACGATCACACACAAATTTTTCTCTCCATCTTTATCAAAGGCTGCTTCCGGGAGGCTTAACGTCCAGCTACCCGGTTGGACTGGCCACCATCGGCATATGCGTCATCATCAACATTGCCGGTGTGGCCACCCTGAATGGTTGTCTTCATCAATTCCCAACCCACCATTTATAAAACTAAGTCTTGGACTGTGGAGGCTGTGCATCCAAGATGAGTGTGGAGACCAACCCTACACAATCAAAGGAGGAAAGACGTCATGATTTCTTTTTTTCGGTCTGATATAATGGTAAGAAATGTGTTTATATGTATCCTTATATATATATATATATGTTAAGGGTAGACTAAATGGTTAGGATTTGGGTTGTTTCGGATAACCTATTGTTTCTGGAGAGTTAGTTTCTGAAAACTTTCCATTCAAAATGTTTTTGCATGGATTATTATTTGTTGTACAGGGTATTATGGTAATTTGTTGTACAGTGTATTACGTTAATTTTTTTACAATATATTATGGTAATTTGTTGTACAGCACATTGTGGTAATTTGTTGTACAGCGCATTGTGATAATTTGTTGTACATTGTATTATGGTAATTACACATCTACTTTCAGTTGTTTCATTTATAAAATTCTTTTTTTTTCCTGCCAAGTCCCATATCATTAATGTGTTACCTTGATAGATAACCAGGGTTTCTGATAACCCGTGTTTCAGATAGTGTTTCACATGAGCATTTCAGAGAACTGGCATGATGGAGTGATTGATTTTAAACTTTGTCCTGGAATCATGTACTTCGTAGAATTAAAATGCAGTTGTTACAAATACAAACTTACAAATCACACCAAAAATCCAAACGCTTTCGTTTATTGTTTCTTCAGACATCTTGAAGGTCTTTGAGGCGTTCGCCATATTGGGTGTTCTACGGTAGCCGCTTTTGTCTTGGCCGCCATTTTCTTAGTACTTCCCACGGTGTTCAGATCCCCTGGGAAAGTACTCACTGACGCCGCCTCTACCTTAGGATTAGCCGGAGGTAAGTTACCCACAGAGTAAAATCCAGGACGAGGAAAAGTTAGCTAAGGAGGTTAGTACTTCCCACGGTGTTCAGATCCCCTGGGAAAGTACTCACTGACGCCGCCTCTACCTTAGGATTAGCCGGAGGTAAGTTACCCACAGAGTAAAATCCAGGACGAGGAAAAGTTAGCTAAGGAGGTAGTCCACGCAGGGTGTCACTTTTTCTTTATATGGAGGGGGGGGCATTTTTACAGACAATTTTTTTTTTGTGGAGTGGGGTTGACAAACTATCCTAGTTTGATGGCACTAGCCCTAGCTGATAAGACAGTGGCTCTCAACCTTTAAAATGCAGCGACCCATTAATACAGTTACTCATAATGTGGCGACCCCCAGCCACGAAATTATTTTCTTTGATACTTTATAACAGTAGAGTATATGTGTTTTTCGATTGTCTTAGGCAATCACTGGGAAAGGGTCCTTCGACCCACAAAAGGGTCGTGACCCACATGTGATAAGCTTTTATTGTGATACAGGAATAGAAGTGAAAGCTTTTGTTACATCAAACATACTGAGTCATGAAAAAAACATATCCGGAAGATAGTAAGACATAAGTAAATGGCTTGTTTTTAATGAACTTAATGAACTTAACAGACAAAATACAGCCAAAACTTCGTTTATTTGTTCATTAATTTATTTATTTTATTTTTTTGGGGAGGGGGATAATTTTTGAAAGCCCACTCTGTAAGAGCTAACATAAGTTTTGTTTTTTTAAAACTTTCTCTATTAACTTAAAAGTAATTTTAACCTTTTTATCTCCTGCTTATCTTTTATCTTTCAGTCATGTCTCTTACAGTTACTTTGATCTCTCTTAGTTACTTCATCTCTCTTACAGTTACTTTCATCTCTCTTACTGCTACTTCATCTCTCTTACAGTTACTTCATCTCTCTTACAGTTATTTTCATCTCTCTTACAGTTATCTTCATCTCCCTTACAGTTACTTCATCTCTCTTACAGTAGTTTCATCTCTCTTACAGTTATTTTCATATCCCTTACAGTTACTTCATCTCTCTGACAGTTACTTTCATCTCTCTTACAGTTAATTTCATGTCTCTTACATTCATAGTTTTATCATTTGAAATCTGTCTCTTGCAGTTGTTTTCATCATCTGTGTTGGTGTCTGGGGCTTCCGTGACCCTTACCTCGGCTACTCATTCTACTTCAGCGTGGCCAGTCTCTTCCTCGTCGCCATTGGCAGCGTGGTGATCTTCATGCAAGGCAGACGATCCGGACTGTCTTACATGCCCATCAGATAGAAGAAACATGACTCGGTGATCAAGTGTACAGGATGGGAGAGGATGTGCCAGCAAGGGGGCTCCTACGACATTTGTGTTTGTTAAAAAGCATTTTTCCCCGCTCCATTTTCATGACACAAGTGCATTTCTATGATTGTATACTATTTGCACAGCCCAGGAATGTTCTAGAAAGAGAAAAATACTTGCAGGTTCTCACTCTAAACCACCCTCCGTCTACATTTCCTCTTTACCCTTATTTCCAGTTGAGACTATCTCCTACCCCTCCCTCTCTCTTTTTTCTACCTTCTCCCTTCCTCACTCCCCCTCTATTCCCCTTTCTCTCCCTTTCCGCCACGCTTCCCTTCTATCCCTATCCCCTCTCTCATTCACTCTCTCTCCCTCCTGTAAATACCGTTTTATTAACCAAACTGAATTTTTGTCAATGATAGAGATTCAGAGGAAAGAGTCTGAGACAAAAGAAGTTTGGTGGAAGTTACAGTGTTGTAACGTCATTAAGCTGTTTCAATGTGGCCAGGCAACTCTCTCCCCCCTTCACCCTCTCCTATCCCTATCCTTCTCTCTCCCTCCCTCCCTGATTCACTCTCTCTCCATCCCTCTTTATAAAATACACTTGCTACCCTCTTGGATACCACTTTTCAGCAAAGTGCTACTTAAAAAAAAAATCTTTTTTATTGTTGTTTGTTCGCTAATGAAGACTTTTTGACGACATTTTGACAACGATGTTTAGTCGCATTCTTCTTTTACAGGTTTTCCCATACTTTGTTTTACTCATTTCCCTTTGTCCTGAGTATTATTTTGTTTGTTTGCCATCTGCATAGCCAATGTTGATCGTTACATCATGTCAACTTTTGTACTCAACATTTCATTTACTTTGTAAATAATGTTATTTAAAAATGAAAATTGCTTCTTTCAAACTGATTACAATTTAATGTATACTTCGTGTCTGTTTAATTTTGTGCCACAACTGTCTGATTAATAAATTTCTACTCCAACCGGCTGACTTAGTGAATGGTGATTTTAAACAATAATGATGTGTGGGAGATGGAGGTGGACATTTATCATTAGGACCATCAAGTGCACATATCGAACATCCAGTTGCCCTCTCCCACAAACGTGCGGGAACCAACTTGATCAGGTTTGCCAAAAATTATCTGGAGGACACAAGAAATGACAAAGGGACACAACAAATGTTAAGGGAAGACGAGAAGTAACAAAGGGACCCAAGACGTGTAAAGGGGAGACAAGAAATAACAAAGGGAGACAACAAATGAGACATGACGAATGTTAAGGGGACACATTAACTCATGATATAGGACATAACAAATCAAATTACCAAAGTTAATAGGGCTACGGACCAGAGGGCACCATGAAAGATAGAGCTACTGACCTGAGGCCACCATGAATAATAATAATAAAGTTTATTTCAAAAACACACTCCAAAGGCTCGAAGCGCGGTACAGTCATATAATTTACCACATTTAAAACAATGAAACCACAATGAATGACAGGGCCGGACCAGAGGCCACCATGAATGATTGGGCTACCGACACTGCTATTAACCATCCTCTTCATAATATTCACAAATAAATCGGTGACAGCCAGATTCACCAAAAGTATTCTTATTTTTTTTAAATATGTAATTATATTTTAATTTATGGAAGCAGCTCATTAAACGAAATACAAACACCATAACTTGACATGCTTTCCATTAATGCTGTGCACCCCCAGTTAGTATGTATGTACATTGATGTTGTCAACATTCCAGCAGACCATCAATTTGTATAAATATTGGTATTTTTAATAGTGCATTCAATGGGGTGTAAGATTAATAGTTTCATTAACGACTTGACTAATATTTGTATTCTTTGTGTAAGTGTCACCTGTGATTGAAACAATTTGTAAGAAAACATGAGAAATATTTGACTATTTGATAAGCAAAGTTGCCGACATCATAAACAATATTTACGAATGCTTCTTAATTTTGTTAACTTTGAATGAGATGGTTTGCTATATGGCAAACGGCCAATGAAACCCTTAAAGTTTAGGAACTGTCATGTCCCAGATTTGAAAGGCGACATATTGTGTGAAGAATTTAACAGCTGGTTGACTCGTTCATAACAGCAGGAGGAGATACTCCCTCATTAACATTACAACCTCTGAAACTGTTTGTTCACACAGGCATGTTGTTCCAAAGATTGAAAGGTACTTTGATGTAAACGTTTTGACTTTAGGAAAGTCATCCATGGGCAAAAACTGGTAAAAACCCACCAGTCCTTCTTTGAATGTGTCCCTAAGGAGGTCATTTGCTTGCAACTCAATGACCTCCAGCTGCAGTTCATCAGTTGGCAATGTAGTGATCGTTTGGCAAACATAACTCGCTACTGCTCGCCTCTATTTTAATTCGATAAAAACATAACGTCCACGTAAGCGGTGAATTATCTTGGCAGGATACACGGAAATTTCCGTTATTTTTATTTCGTCGACAAAAAGATCTACTCGGGCCAGATGATGGGGCCTCGCGGGCCGCATCCGGCCCTCGGGTCGTAGTTTGGAGACCCCAAGACTACGCAGACAGAGTGCTAAACAGTTTATGAGATTTTTCTACGCAGAGAGAGGTGCTAAAAAGTTTAATAAGATTTGTCTACGAAGACAGAGGTGCTAAAAAGTTTAATGAGATTTGTCTACGAAGACAGAGGTGCTAAAAAGTTTAATGAGATAACAGATGCTTCTGTCTCCACGATTTTTCAAATTACTCTAAACTCTACGAAGACAGAGGTGCTAAAAAGTTTAATGAGATTTGTCTACGAAGACAGAGGTGCTAAAAAGTTTAATGAGATTTGTCTAAACAGTTTAATGATTGGCAGTAAACGTTGAATTTTGTTTGGAAAGCAGGATAGAAAGAAGAAGACAATAAAATCTTTGGGGTCGGGGTTCCCATGGACGGACATAAGCTACGTCATCATGGTCTTCATACCATGGGACTAACAAGCTACGCCATCATGGTCTTCATACCATGGGACTAACAAGCTACGCCATCATGGTCTTCATACCATAGGACTAACAAGCTACGTCATCATGGTCTTCATACTATGGGACTAACAAGCTACGTCATCATGGTCTTCATACCATGGGACTAACAAGCTACGTCATCATGGTCTTCATACCATGGGACTAAGTACTCGGTAACGTCTTACCTGAGACTTTCTTTAGCCACCACTATGAGGTTGATCTCAACTAAAATGTATGATGCATGATTATAATCCAAGATACATGAATAGAATCAACGATACATGAGTGGAATCCAAGATACATGGATAGAATACTTGATACATTAATATAATAAATGATACATGATTAGAATCCAAGATACATGAATATATATAGAATCAATGATACATGAGTAGAATCAATGATACGTGAGTGGAATCCAAGATACATGGATATAATAAATGATACATGATTAGAATCCACGATACATCAGTAGAATCCAAGATAGATGAATCCATTGCAGGCATGCCTCTCATTTATTTTCTCTTACTCTGTCAGCCCTTATTTCTCTGTCCTCTACCTCTGAAACCATCTTATTTCTCTGTCCTCTACCTCTCAAACCATCTTATTTCTCTGTCCTCTACCTCTCAAACCATCTTATTTCTCTGTCCTCTACCTCTGAAACCATCTTATTTCTCTTATTTCTACCTCTCAAACCATCTTATTTCTCTGTCCTCTACCTCTGAAACCATCTTATTTCTCTGTCCTCTACCTCTGAAACCATCTTATTTCTCTGTCCTCTACCTCTCAAACCATCTTATTTCTCTGTACCTCTCAAACCATCTTATTTATCTGTCCTCTACCTCTCAAACCATCTTATTTCTCTATCTTCTACCTCTCAAACCATCTTATTTCTCTATCTCCTACCTCTCAAACCATCTTATTTCTCTATCTTCTACCTCTCAAACCATCTTATTTCTCTGCCTTTTACCTCTCAAACCATCTTATTTCTCTGCCTTCTACCTCTCAAACCATCTTATTTCTCTGTCTTCTACCTCTCAAACCATCTTATTTCTCTGCCATTTACCACTCAAAGCAAACTAATTCTAGGTCCTCTAGCGATTTACTTCTCCGTGTTTTCCATCTCTCTCTCTTTCTCTTTTACTTTTTATCTAACTCTCCTGTTCTCTCTATATATATATACATACTCCTCTGTCATTGTGTCTCTCTCATCCAATCTCTAACCTTTTAACCCTCTCCTCAAACTATCCTTTTCCGTTACACTTTCTTGCCTCCTTTTTTCTCTCTCTCTCTCTTTCTTTCTATCTGTCTCTTTCTCTCTCTTATTTTCTATCTCTCTCGTTCTCTCTTACTCTCTCTCCCTATCTTCCTCTTTCTAGCTCTCTATAGCTCTCTCTCTTTCTACCTCTCTTTCTTTCCCTCTGTCTCTCTATCTCTCTCTCTCTCTCTCTCTGTATTTTAATTCCCCCATGACCTGTCCCAAGGATGCCCCTCTCACTGTTGCTTACACCCATCGATATCTGTAATGAGGACAACAAATGACTGCCTGGAGGAGAGTCATGTGACTGGTGGGTTAATGATATTAAACAAATGACGCTTCCTGATAATTGCGTGTTCGGTCTACACAAACACACGTACGCAAGTACTAAGCCAAACACACACACACACACGCACACTCAAGCACTAAGGCAAACATTTACATAAACACCAAACCAAGCAATTACACAAACACACTTACAAACACTAAGCCAAACAGTTACACAAACGCACTAACAAGCACAAAGCCAAACATTTACACAAAGGCATTTACAAACACTAAACCAAGCAATGATACAAACACACTTACAAACACTCAAATTAAGTCAAACGTAGCTGAGCAACACAGACGACACGAGGGGAAGGGGAGAGATCACGAAACACACAGTTCTAATGGGCACACTGGGATCGTGTTCATTAGGTGGGGTCACATCTTGCCACATCCTCTCAGCTGGTCGGGTGGTCAGCCTACTGGTCACATCGACCGCCACGTACCACTGGCCAAGGTATTTTGTCTTTCTTTTGTATTTGAAAGCAATCAACACCGCCCCCCCCACACCCCCGGGTGGATCCTCAGAGTCGTCGCCTGGGCCTCAGATATTCAAAGGTTCTAAAGTTTTGATGTGGAAAATTGTTAACTCTATCAACGTTAAATTTTAATGCATCGGGCCGCATCACAAAATAGTGGCATGGGGCGCAGAAAGGGGGTGTGGAGGGCGCGCCACTATTTTTCTTTAAATGGAGGACCGGCATCATCGGTCAACTGTCTAGTTGATCGTTCAAGGGGGCGGCAAAGTTTCTTTACCCGCACCTCGGATGGCGCTAATCCTAGCAGCACCACAGGGCAGGGGGGCTCCAAAAATCACGCGACGCCCCTGGCTGATCTACTCTAGTTAACATTATTGGAAATAACTTATAGTGTACTGAAAACAAAGTGGCCATTTGACAAATTTCATTTCAGCGATGCTGTTGTCGTTATTTGTCGAGATCTAAAGTCTCTGAACCAAAAGTTATCATGGTTCTGTTTATCCTATGATGATGAAATTAGCGATGCTGGGCTGGTTATTTGTTTAGATATACCCTCTGAGCTCGAGCTCTCTCTCTCTTTCTCTCTCTCTCTATTTTTAGTCCATTTCTTTATCTCTAGCCCTCTCTCTTTCTCTCTCTAGCTCTATCTTCCTCTATCAAGCTCTCTTTTTCTAGCGCGCGCTCTCTCTGTTTCTTTCTGTTCCTTTCTCTCTCTCTCTCTCTCTCTCTCTCTCTCTCTCTCTTTCTCTCTCTATCTATCTCTAAATATATACATATCCCTACAATTATCTGGTTATGACGTCGGTTCAATTTATTTTTCTGTCCAGCTCTGATGTGCATATTAATTAAGCAATAAATCTCAGAAATCCTGGCTCATTCTAACTAAAGAATTCATTCTCTAATTCCACGTCTGAGAAATCTATTCATGACATTATTCCCATTTTTACTCAACTACAACCGACGC